TGGTAAGGAAAAATAGAAGGAGGAAACTATACATAGGTAATAGACAATGTAAGCATGAATATTCATAATACACAAGCCTCAAGGGACTACCCCGTCCATCTACTCTTACTATCTTAAGTAAATACACATCAGTTGCATCTCCATAGCAGTTTTTATAACAGTGGTTCTCAACCTGTGGGTCGGGACCCCATTTGGGGTCGAACGACCATTTCACGGGGGTCGCCAAACAACGCAGTCCGCCATTTTCCCCCCCTTTTCCTTAGCTGTGCTACTCCCTTTGATTCTATTGGCTTTTGAAAGCCAATAGAATAGACTCTTTTGAATAGAGTCTAATTCTATTGGCTTTCAAAAGCCAATAGGAATTGTCCAGGCTGTCTCTGCCCTGCTGAGCCCGCCAAAAGTCCCTTTCTGCAAACGGTGCTGCACCAGTTGAGTAGTCCTCGACTTACGACCGGTTGAGTAGTCCTCGACTTACGACCAGTTGGGGGGTCACGGCATTAAAAAGGTTGAGAACCACTGTTTTATAAAATATACTAAACTGAGAAGTGAAAACTTCAAGGTCCCAATAGCATACATTCTTTCAATGTTTCTAATTTGTCAACACATTCCCACTCCTCCAAGAACTTGTTTTTCTCAGACTTGGTCTGGGCAGAAATACTGGCCTACACTTTAAAAAATACAGATTTCAGGCAACAGATCCTTTTTCAGTTGAATCCATCACTTTGGGAACTAGGGAAGCCTCGTTGCTTCATTTGGTCACCTTATCTCAAATCTCAAGGCATTATGAATAGATCTTAGAACTGATAAAACCCTAGATCAGTGTTTCCCAAACTTGACAATTTTAAGGCATGTGGACTTCAACTCCCAGAATTCCACAGCCAGCATTGCTGGCTGTGGAATTCTGGGAGTTGAAGTCCACATGCCTTAAAATTGTCAAGTTTGGGAAACACTGCCCTAGATGGAATATCAACACAAAGAGATGTCTTGCATAAAATATCTGAAGGCACAGAGAAACTTTATTCCAAATATAGTTCCAGCTATATCTAAAGGTGTCAGAGAGAGGGATCATTCTCCTTTCTCCTTAGTTTTATTTATTTATTTTTAAAGAAGGGAAGGAAGACCATGGAATGGACCTCCAGCTTTCCTTCCTTCCCAGTTTGGCATTCGCCTCCCACCCTTTCTCTATTATTGGAGGTGGCAAAGACAGTTAGTCTCTAGGTAGCTTCCAGAGAAGGTGGGTTCTTCCTGAAGCTCCCTAGTTGTGTGGATGGCCCTCCTGCCATTTTCTATCTTGGATTATTTTCCCATTCCCATAGCAGAATGCCGAAAGCTTCCCATTTGGGTACAAGAGGATCATATGACTTCTTTCAATAAGAGACCAATCTGATTCATGTCTGTTTTCCATTTTTTATCAGAATCAATTCTGAGGGTATTGAGTATTCCAGGGACTGTTTTTCAGTGGGGTCACTACTTTTCGGACATGTCCAGAAAGGATGATAGGATACTTATGACTCAACACTGAGTCATGGAACCCTAAGGTCCCATAAGGTCTGTGATGTCACCTAATGCTTCCAGAAATAACTGGTGTAGGACATCCCAGAGTATTGCAGGTGGGGGTTATCTGCATGACCTTGACACCCAGCTCTACTACTCACAACTACTTTCAAGAAAGAGGCATATAGAGAGAAAGTGGCCAGGTTGAAACAGATTTAGAGTTTCTTATTCATCACACCTCAGGCAAAAGACTCCATCACCATTTCTTTGGGGAGTCTTATATCTTTTATTCAGCTGTCTTATTTTACTGTAACTATATTAGAAAACAAGAAATACACGAAGAAACCAGCATGGCTACACAAAGATCTCTCTAACAAACTAAAAGACAAAAAGAACAAATACAAAAAATGGAAAGGGGGGCACATAACTAAAGTTGATTATCAGTAGACAACCAAAACATGCAAAACATGAAGTCAGGAAAGCAAAAGCTCAGAACGAACAAAGACTTGCAACAGAAATCAAGGACAATAAAAAAATTTCTTCCAGTGTATTAACAAGAAAAAAATCAAGGAAAGAGAAGATGGCAAGGAAATTACAGGCAACAGGGTGAAAGCAGAGCTGTTTAACTCATTCTTTGCATCAGTCTTCACATAAAAAGAAACCATAGCTCAACACATCCCCCCCAAAAAAACCTGCAAAAGACATACTAGAAACAAAAACCAAAATAAGCAAGAAAATGGTAAGGGAATACCTATCCAATCTTGACGAATACAAATCACCAGGACCCAACAGGTTACATCCCAGAGTTCTGAAGGAGCTGGCAGATGTTATCTCAGAACCGTTGTACCACATCTTTCACAAATCCTGGAGCACTGGGAAAGTATCTGAAGATTGGAAAAGGGCTGATATGGTCCCCATCTTCAAGAAAGGGAAAAAAATGGACTCAGGAAACTACAGACCAATCAGTTTAACATAAATACTTGGGAAGATCTTAGAAAACATAATAAAAAAACCCAAATCTGCAAACAGCCAGAAGCAAACAAAGTCATAACTAGCAGCCAGCACAGGTTTGTAAAAACAGATCATGCCAAACCAATCTCATCTCATTCTTTGATAAAGTGACCAAACTAATAGACCAGCAAAATGCAGTGGACATAGTATACTTAGATTTCAGTAAGGCACTTGGCAAGATAGACTACTACTCCTTGGTAAGCTAGGAAAAGGTGGAATAGACAACATTACCACCAGATGGATTTGTAGCTGGCTGATAAACCATACTCAATGAGTAGTCCTCAATGGTACTACATTCACATGGAGAGAAGTAAGCAGTGGGTACCACAAGGTTCCATCTTAGGCCCAGTACTCTTCAATATCTTCATAAATTACTGAGATGAGGGAATTGAAGGGAAACTCATCCAATTTGCAGATGACACTAAATTCACAGAAGTAGTCAACACCCCAGAAGACAAACTCAGAATCCAAAAAGATCTTGACAAACTTGAACAATGGGCCCTATCAAACAAAATGAGTTTCAATGTGAAGAAAAGGAAGGAAAGGAAGGAAAAAGCAAAGGTACAAATACAGATTAGATGAGACCTGGCTTAAAAACAGTAACTGTGAGAAGGACCTTGGAATCCTAGTGGATGATCAATTGCCAGCAGTGTGCAGTAGCAATCAAAAAATATAATCCTGGGTTGTATAAACAGAGGCATAGAATCAAGATCACATGAAGTATTATTACTACTTCATAAAACCCTAGTACGACAATGTATGGAGAAGATGGATAGAATATGTTCAGAAGAAATATGGAACTACAAAGTTTCACTTATTTTATGAGTAATGATTTTGTTTATAAACTTATGATGTCAATGTTTGAAGAGAGTTAAGGGTTTTTATGATTTTGTTCATTGTATAATTAATAAACTTAAATAGATTATGTTTAATATGTTTGCATAATCCTGTATTTTGCTCTGGGAAGTCAGGGGGGGGAAGGGGGTGGGGGGAGGGGGGTGGGGTGGATGGGGGGTATTTGAAGTTTAAGAAGTTCAGATAAAGTAGAAATAGTCTTATTGTATATAATATTAATGTTTTAATTCTGAGAGAGGAACTGCTCGGGCATTTCCCCTGGACCGCATCAAGAGGGAGGAGAAGAAGGTGAGAAGTATGTAGGAAGGTTGAGGTGAAGGAGGAGAGGGGGTGAGTGAAGAAAAAGAGGGAAAGAAGTAAGTTCGTTTGAGGTGGGATGCGGTTTGGGGGGAAATGGGCGGGCAAGACCGAATGTGGCATGTATCAATTTGTTTTATTTTTTATCTGAAGTATTTGTAAGATTGTTATGTATTGTAAAGTTGAAAATAAAAATTTTTACAAAAAAAAAAAAAAAACCTAGTACGACGACACCTGGAATACTGCAGCCAGTTTTGGTTGCCTTATCACAAAAAAGACATTGAGAGTTTGGAAAAAATTCAGAGAAGAGCAACTAAGATGATCAAAGGCCTGGAGACTAAAACATACGAAGAACGGCTATGGGACTTGGGTTTGGCTAATCTAAAGAAAAGAAGAAATAGGAGAGACATGATAGCGGTGTTCCAATATTTGAGGGACTGACACAAGGCAGAGAAGACTAGGTTGTTCACCAAAGCACCAGAGGGAAGGACGAGAAACAATGGTTGGAAACTGATCAAAGAGAAGCAATCTGGAATTAAGGAACAACTTCCTGACAGTGAGCACAATCAACCAGTGGAACAGCTTACCCCCAGTAATCGTGGGCGCTCCATCACTGGAGATTTTAAAGAAGAGACTGGACATTCATCTGTCTGAGACAGTATAGGTTCTCCTGCTTGAACAGGAGGCTGGACTAGAAAACCTCCAAGGTCCCTTCTAGCTCTATTCTATTCTATTCTATTCTATTCTATTCTATTCTATTCTATTCTATTCTATTCTATTCTATTCTATTCTATTCTATTCTATTCTATTCTATTCTATCCTATCCTATCCTATCCTGACCAGCAGAACCAGAAAGGATTATGAAGTTGGCCAAACTCTTTTCCAACCATCTTCTCACTTTGTTCCCTATGTTTTGAGTCTAAGAATACCAGCAGCACTATGATCATTTTCACCCTGAAGATACGGCTATTGAGAAGACAAGAGATGAGATTCAGACCTCACTAATTAACTCTGAAGACATCTGCCAAGCTTACATCACTACAAAGTTCAAGAAATAACTCATATGTCTCTTCTATTGAAGAGTTGCTTAAACCAAATATTAGTTGACATGTGTGCTGAGGAAAAGAAAAACTACCAACAGTTTTAAAAGCATAAACATTATTTATTTATTTATTTATTATTAATGTATTTGATGATTATCTTGAATTTTCATTTGACTACCTGACCACATATTAATTTCATTCAGCTATAATAAACATAAATTGTCAAACAAAGGCAAAGGCAGCATATAAACTGAATAATAATGGATAATTAAACGTTATGAGCCTAAGAAACAATTTCAGTCATTCCCCTGCTTTTGTCATTAGATGTTCCTTAGTGTTTAGATCTGGTCTCAGGATGATAATGTAGCATTTGGGGAAGAAGATGCAGCCCAACAGTCCAGCACTGGAGGCCAAGATGGCGAAGACCTGCACAGCCACTACGTATTTTCCTTTAGTGCTCAGGTAGGTGGGGAGGAAGGAGACCCAGACATTGCAGAAGACCAGCATGCTGAAGGTGATAAGCTTGGCTTCATTGAAAGACCCAGGCAGGTTCTTAGACAGGAAAGCCACCGTGAAGCAAATGGCAGCAAGGAAACCCATGTAGCCAAGGACAACATAAAACATGATGATAGAGCCTTCATTGCATTGAAGGACGATCTCTCCAGGCTGGGAGTGCAGATCAGAGTCAGGAAATGAGGGAAACACTCCGAGCCACATGGCACAGATGAGAACCTGGACACCAGAACAAAAAAGGATGATGGAGTTGGCCAAACTCTTCCCCAACCATCTTCTCACCTTATTCCCTGGTTTTGAGGCTAGGAATGCCAGCACTACTGTGATCGTTTTGGCCAACACAGAAGACACAGCTACTGAGAAGACAATGCTGAACACTGTTTGTCGGAGAAGACAGGTGGCTTTCCTTGGTCGTCCAATGAAAAGAAAGGAGGACAAGAAGCATAGCAGGAGGGATATAAGGATTATATAGGAGAGGTCCCGGTTGTTGGCTTTGACAATGGGAGTTTCTAGGTATTTAAGAAATATGATTAAAACAAAGCCTGTGGTTAGGAATAAGAATAGAGCAAAGGAGATGAGGATGATGCTGACATGTTCATCATAGGACAGGAAGGTTATTCTTTTGGGGATACATTGGACTCGGTTCTTGCTTGGATATTGATTGTCTGGGCACTTGGTGCATTTGTCAGTATCTGAGAAAACAAAGTAACATTTCTTTTATTAACTTTCAAATTTCAAGAAAATTTTGAGATAATGCAATCTACTTAGACTCCAGCAAAAAAAAAAAAAATAGAAACACAGTAGTACAAATATAAAAACAAGAACAGCAACAAAATAAAATGAAAAGAAGAACTATCTGGTGCCACAAGCTCCCTTCTCTGAGGTAATCCACCAGATTCTTACCTTGCACTCACCTTACCTTATCCCAAATGGTTCGGAGAAGTAGCAAGTCTCCAGAGGTTTAAAAGGATGGGGGCCTATTGGATTTCAAGAGGGAGTGGGTCCAATGGCGCAGGAACTGCACCAGAAAAGGATGGCTTGTGAGGACCCATAAAGTGGGAATATTTTAGGAAACAGTCCTTTTGCATGCCAATTACAGCTGCTCTGGTGGGACAAGCAAATATCCTCAAGGAGAGGAAGCTCTGCAGATACCCTGGCTCTGTCTCATGTAGGATTTGAAAGGTGATTTTTATTGCACTTGGGAAGAAACTGAGATTCTATGGAGCCTGTACAAAAGGGAGTCCTATGGAAGAACACATGGAAAGACAACACTGTACATGCCTTTGCATTCTGGACCATTTGTAAATTCCAGTTGGTTTTCAAGAACAACCCTGTGAAAATGGGATAAAAAATAAATAAAACTGATAGCAAAAAAAAGATCTAGTGCTCCATCTAGTCTGCCCTTTGAGTTTTTGTTTTCTTATTTATTTAATATTTTATTTCATTTTTTTAATTCAGATGAAGGAGATATGTTTATCCCAAAAATGTTTAAACTCAAAATCTTTTTTTATTAAAAAGTTTTATAAAAATTACAATATAACCCACCCAACCCCCCCTCTCCCTCCCCAACTTCCCAGACCTGAGTACAGGGTTACAAATATAATAATCATAATCTAACTAACATTAACCAACTATATAAATAACCAAATACATAATGCACTTTAACTCCCCTTTAACATAAATATAAACAAATTAAAAATAAACATAATAATAATGAAAACATAAACAAATTAATATCCTAATTATTAAGCAATACAATCTCAAAATTGTTAAACAATACTAATACTAAAAATAATAATAATGTCATAATAATACTCTAAAATTCACTCATAGGCTAAATGAAACTTTTTAGCCCCATATTTATTCTGAATATAATTTATCCATCTTCTCCAAACCGAAATATATCTTTCTTGTGAGTGATTCTTCAGGTAAGCAGAAATCTTAGCCATTTCTGCTAAATTTGACACTTTAAGCGTCCATTCTTCTATAGTAGGCAAGCAATCCTTCTTCCAATATTGCCCTACTAATAACCTTGCAACATCTTGATGTACTCCTCTCTTTCTCTCTTTATATCTCATTGTTTTAATGTTTAATTATTGTTTTAATTGCCACCAAGCATCATAATGGATTTATGATATTTATAAAGATTGACTAATTAATTGAAGGATTGATTGATATATCTTTTGGTCTATAATGTAAACTTGTTTTGGGTGAGCAAAACCCATTGATTTAAAATCATTCCTCAAGTTACAAAGAATCCAGAAGTTTCTAAAAAAGATGAATCCAGAACTTTCCCTATGGTGTCATCCACCTTCCTGAGTGGAGATGGTTCCCTCCGGACAAGGAACGCAGTCATAACAGCAAACTGGCTCTCCTTCTCGAACCTTCTTGACAAATCCAGGATGGCATTTTTCCACACATTTGGACTGAGGCAGAGACTAAGAAGAAAAAGAAGAAACACCAGAGAAAATGTATTAGAACTCACCATCCATTTAAATGGAGGTAGATGTGAACATTATGTGAACAAATATGAAATATCTGAATACTTCCAAATGGTTGCAGAAGATACAATTGCAGGTAGATGCCTCATTTAGTTCCCCCATTTTTCTTCTGGCATATCAGACTGCAAAAAAAAAAGTACATTTCTATTTAATAAAATCTGGAGAGATGAAATTGAGAAAAGGTGGGGTCCTCCACAAAGATCTCTCTAACAAACTAAAAGACAAAAAGGAGAAATACAAAAAAGGAAAGAAGGCCACATAACCAAGGCCAATTATCAAACAATTAGAAGCAAACAAAGTTATAACTGGTAGCCAGCATGGATTTGTGAAAAACAGATAATGCCAAATCAATCTTATCTCATTCTTCAATAAAGTGATGAAACTAATAGATCAGCGATATGCAGTGGATGTAGTATACCTAGATTTCAGTAAGGCATTTGACAAAATGGACCACAACTTACTCTTAGGTAAGCTAGAAAAAGGTGAAATAGACAACATCACCAGCAGATTTGTGTCCTTAATAACAATCACCCCAAATCTCATATTAGATATAGCTGAATCAGCTTACAACAATATTCAACCCTATAGCATCTGAAGGATATCTGGGACAATAGAACTGAAGTCTCTGTATCTACCTAAGAAAATTATAGATATTTTACTCCAAACATTCAATTCTCTGTGAAGGTTTTTCTGACCAGGTGTAGACCACTTGAAATGGGTCTTTTGGAAAAAAGAGAAAAGACATTGATATTTTCTCCACCTTGTTCAGCAACTTTAGCTGTGACAAAGCATCTTGGTTGATTGTAAGTCTCTGTCTTTCAAAATCCTCCAAATGCTGGTTGATGGGAACCTCCTCAGGGAGAACCACCCTACTAAAGATCCTCAGGTCTGCTGCTATGTCTCCATTTTGATCCACATACACATTCATCAGGGAAAGATTGCACATTTCCTTCTTCTTTAGAAATGGATGCCACTAGAATGGAAACATCCAGGAATTTTAAAAGCAGTTTCTTATCTGGTTTCTTATCTGTTATCTCATTTTACATTTCAAACTTTCTTCTATGGTTCTTTAACTTGCAAATATTGTAAGTTGGAAGAACAAGTGTTTGCACCATCTTCAAAACTCAAGAACAAAGGTTCAGTAATACTTCTCAATCATACAGTATACTGACAAAAAGTATACTGACAAGATATAATTGACAAAAATTGTCAATTATATAGAACACTCTAGCAAAGGTCACCAATCAAGTAAACAAAATATCCAAATACTGTAACTAGAGAATTCATAAACTCCTTGAAAACAACAGGGTGATCACCTGAAAGCAAGAATTTGTTAAGAAGAAAGTTGCAAGGCTAATCTTCATTCAGGAAAAGGAGATCGGAAAAATGACCAGATGAACTAATTCTACTTTATTGTAAAATTACATTAACAGTATCTTGCAAGTGTGAAAGTACAAATGTTTCACCATCTCTTTTGACAGTCCCAAAAAATGTAGGGAGAACCTTTTCTGAGTTTCTTTCTCTGCCTATTATGCAACTACGAGTTGCTCTCCCAAAAACACCAACTTATCTGATTCTTCCCTGCATCTCTTTCTCTGGTCCTCCAAACTCATCGCACATATTCTTACATTTCCTTAATAGATAATTTGAATCCTAGTAGTATAACTTGCACAGCACAGAATTAACAAAATTGATCTAATTAATTGAACACTGGGTGGTATAATAATTAAGTAGGTACAACTATCTTAAAAACTGTAAAAATTATTTTTAAGCTTACTGATAAAGATTATCATAACTGAGGAATTATGAAAAACAATTGGACTTGGTCATTGATTATTCTATATTTTCATTAGTAAGGGAAACAGATAAATCATGATTTTGTGATGCAAAAATTATACTAACGCTTGGATAAAGTTATTTTGATTTCCTTTAAAAAAATTTCCAGCTTCCAGAAAATAAAAATATAATTTTGTGATAGAGGTGCATAAGTAAAATCCAGTTGGAAACTAACTAGTTTTTACATCTAGGACTTGATACATGATTATATCGTGCATAACACAAATAAATGGCACCAACAATCTATATCTTTCTTTAAGATTTCATTTATAGTTTTTCTCACATTATTCTATATGAAGTTATAATAAAGTGGTAGTAATATTTTAATGATCTGATAATAATCATATTATTAATTCAACAATAATGTCATTAATGATGTAGTAGAATCATTCCAGGTCCTCTTATAGAAACACACTTGGAGAAGACATCAAAGACCCTGTAAGGAATTTATAGTTTGATGGATCCTCGTTGGGACTCCGTACCTTCCATGGCTGCAGACATGGAGCCCCCAATCTCTCTTCTCCCTTCTTCCTTCTCCTCTGGGATTTGGACGCAACATTTAAGGCATGGGCCAGAATCTTAATGACACTGTAAGGAACACCTGCATTTGGGATCTGCATTCTATTTCTTTTCTCTTGGGTCTCCACTGGTGCTTTCTGGGTGCATCTTCTCCGGCCTTTGACAGAAAAGATGTGTTTTGAAACAGAACAGTGAAAATACTCAGCCTGAAATTCATGTTTCACAAAGAAAGGTGTTTTAAAGGCATCATCTTTTTGCCAGCTTTTTTTCCTCTGAAGAGGAAAGCTCCAAATACTATGGACGTACTTGAGAAGCCTGTCCTTTCCTGTGAAATATATGCCCACCATTGTCATGATCCAGACTTTCCCTTCAATGGATCCTGGCAAACCTTCAAGTGTTGAATGGAAAGGAAGAATTCTTGTAAAAAGGGAAGCAAATTCTATGAAGTGAACAAAGACATTGACTTGTTTCCACTTAGAGAGGGCATCCCTGAGGGGTGCTGTATGTCCAGTTCTTGAGAACTGTTGTGATATAACAACACAAATCCTATTCTTGACAAGTATTGGAGTTAAAGTTCTCATGAAATGCTCTCCCTCCTCTGTGTCTGGAGCAAAGAGGCCAATCAAGGCCCATCCAAAATGGAGAAGCAGTTGGACAATTGCTGGGATCTGGAACCCTTCTTTGGGGAGCATCGGATAGAAAAAAGGGAATTGACTTTTATCACTCAGAATCCCTGAAGCAACTCTCTCACTGATCTGAAATAACAATCAAGAATTCTGTGTTATATTTGGGGTCCAACCAAATCCCAATGTTTCCACGCCATTAATTTCTATAAAAAATAATGACATGACATAATTTTATAAATTGTATAAATTCTCAATTCTGCTCTGAGGGCAGCAGCTGAAGTTCTTTTATTCACCCTGAAGATACTTCTCAGATGATGTGATTGGATTTGTTCTAGTAGTGATATAAATTAAATCCCAGAGTTCAGGTCAAAGTGGCAACGTTGGCCTTTTGTACTTTAATGTTTCAGGCTGCATAGCTATGAATTTTTAAAAATCCTTTTAACAGTGCATTCACTGGTACCTTTGATCTAAATGAGAAGCTTTGATGTTGAGGGAGCCAAGATTCAGTCACAGAGAAAAGTTCTCCGGGTAAGGAAAGGTGTGAACTTGCTCAAATGCTATGAAGGCAGCAAACAAATATTTCTTCTGACTGATATTTCTCCAGTTAGATAGTTCAAGACAACCCAATTGTCGACAGTGGATCAAATCTGCGTAAAGACTGCTGGATCTTCTACAAGGAATGCACTTTTCACCTACCACTCTCATCGCTATTCAAGGGGAAGCTGGCATTTATTCAAGCCACAATATCTGCTAGACAAATGGGCCTGGAATTGCTAGGGACCATTTTATTCCCTTTTTAAATATATGGGAACTACAATTGTCATCTTAAACTGAAATGAGTGCGGCACATGTTATTTATATTTGTCAATGAACCTGCTAATAGAGAGTCCCACCAGGTGAGGTATTTCTTTAACTGTTCAGTTGATGGGCAATCTTCTCTGGAACAATATTGATTTTCAAGCCTTTTATTATGAATTTAATGTAATGTACATGTTAGATAATATATTTGTAGGGTGTTTAAATATAAAATGATTAATTAATGTTAATGCTGCCCACAGAATCATAACACATATATGTTTCATCAACATTAGGAAAGATAATCCAGTGGAACTCTGTTTATAAATCTGGGATTTGTTCATAACTGAGAATATCATTATTTTGATTAAGATCATGGTCAAAAAGTGAGCTTTCCATCAATGCTGCACTTCCTATTGTACAGAAGATCCTTTGGTTTGACAAAGCCTCTCCTCACCTTCACAAGTCTGCAGCAGAAGCCTCAAAGAAAAGAGGATGTCATGAGTAGATGTTTTTGTTTTGATCCTTATTCCCTCCCTAGTGTTATATCAATCCCTAGCCATGAAACCTACAATTGCCATAGTGAAAAGCAGCTCTTCAATTCTATAAGGAACATATGGTTTTATCTATCGTCAAATGCTACCACCCCACTTACTTTGCCAGATAGGGGAACACAAACACAAACCTGTGGGACTTTGTAGGTGCCTGCTAATGTTGACATCTGGATTGATATGTTACTGTCAGCTCCATCCACAAGAGCCAAAAGGTTGTCCTTCCTTCCACAGCTGTAGTTGGGAACATTGGCTTCTCCAGTAGAGAGCATGTCCAGCAAGGCATCTGAAGTGCCAAGTGTGTTCACATAGTTGTCATAGATATTGTAGCCCAGTGTGAGATTGTGCAGGTGCTGGTGATTTTTCTTAAAAACTTCAATATTGAAAATCATGCGTAGTATTCTTTGTTTTCCAAAAGGTAAACTAGTGTAAAACCATGCTCATGTTAATATTAGCATCATTAACAGCAACAACCAAATACCTTTTCTCTATTTAATTGACTTATTCTTCACAAACTAACTTAAGCTAATATTGATTGAAAACCAGAGGCAAATGATAGTCACCTGTCACCCTTTAATATTTGTGAGTGTGGAGAAGATAGGATGGAGGGATTAAAAATCACAAATACATCATTATTTGTAAAAGTACTAACTTTCATCAGCCCAGTAAAAGGATTGCAGAATAGTTCAGTTATTAAAATAGAACAATCATAAAAGGAAGAGGATTTCTGATGAGTGACCCAGAGAAGCTGTTCTAAAACGGAGTCATCTTCTATTCCTATAAAAATCAGGAATAGAATATCAATCTGTAGTTATAAAAGTATGGAAATGACCTGGGAAGGGGAAAATACAATAATCACTACTTTCAACAAAACTCAAGTATTCATATCATGAATTGAGGATTGAACAGGGAGAAGAAAGTAATGTGAACTTCTTTAAGGCTTTATTTTCCTCATGTTTTGATTTAAGCCTCTCCCCAGAAAATAAGACAAAAGTGAGAGGCTGTGGAAATCAAAAGGATTCAAGAAATTGGTCAAGTCCTGCAATATAGGAATAAGTAAAATAAGAAAAAAAGAAGTGTTAGAACTGCAAATGGAGGTAAAGAAATGCCATCACAGTGAATTACTTACAATCGGATCTGACTAGAAGGAGCCATGTTGAAAGGTAATTTTGCAGGTGCTATTGCTGATGAAGAGATGACTATACTAATGAGAAGATCTCCTTGTTTATAATAGCTCCATGGCTTTTCTCTATCCTGGTGGGCCAAATTCAGTGGGCACTTCATTCTCAACTTCCCAGAGACAGGCTGGGACATCAGCAGCATCAGAAGTAGCAGGAGATCCATAATTGATGGAGTTGAATCAGTCTCCTTCCCGTTTCTAAAGAAGAATTAGAAGAATTGGAAGCATCCTCACAGGATGGAATATCCAGTGGCTTTCCTGATTCAAACAGAGACAAACCAAGATTCACCTGGAATAGAGAAAAAGTACAATTCAAGAGCACAGTTCTTGTCTTTCTGTAATTTGAGCCACAAAGAGCATAAGCCATAGTATTTATCCTTTTAAGTCTGATGTTTACAAAAAAGGCAGTCACTGCAGAAGTAGGAGAAGAGGTCTCAGAGACAGGGGTGGTGATTATTACAGTGAGAAGGAACTTCTCCTCCTGGGATCCCTTCAATGTAAGGAGGGATAGCTGGAGAAAAGCATGTTAGTGAAAAATCACAGATACACCCCTTGGGGCGGTGTTCTGTAGTGGTCACAGCCCTTCCTGTAAGGACATGTCTAGAAAGACATGCTGGATGAAGATACTTCAACAGCCAGAAAAGTGACTTCTGTTGTCCTTCAGTGGGGTCTCTTGCCTTCAGAGGCTGCTAGGGATGGTCACGCAGTTCTAGGTTGGTGACACTTAACTCTAGTGCTGCCTCTGCTTTATCTTCATGGAAGCATTCATTATCCTTGAACCCAGCCTAATTTTAGAATAACAGAATTGGAAGGGACCTTGGAGGTCTTCTAATTCAACCCCTTGCTCAAGCAGAAGACCTTATACCATTTCAGACAAGTAGCTGTCCAGTCCATCTGTTTGTGATGCTGTCTATCCCACATTTTTCTAGCTTACCAAGAAATAGATTGTCATCTATTTTGTCAAATACCTTACTGAAATCCCAGTATACTATGTCCACAGTATTTTGCTAATCCATAATTTGGTCACTTTGTCTTCAAGAGAAAGAGTAGGGCCTGTTGGGGTTTTCTTCTCAATGAGATTTCCATATATGAATCCTAAATTGGGGCTGATTTTATAATTCCTTGTAACTGAAGTGAAATTTCATTTGTCATCTCTTCTAGAAATATTAATTTTTGCATGAGAACTGACTGAGAGATTGGAAAGTAATGGCCTATGGACTGCATCATTGGCTAAGAGAGTGAATTTTTTTTTTTTTTTTTTAGTTTCCTTAATACTTGCTTTGTTGTCTTCCCATATTGATACAAACACTGCAGGTCTTTAAATATTGAAGTTTCTTGGTTTCTAAAATAAGCAGTGTGCTGTGAGGTCTGCAGCTGAGATGATGGCAGCACCCACAGTGCAGTAGATGGTGTGACCTGATTTCTTGCCACAACCACTCAGACGTTGGTTTAGGGGCACCTTGTGGCAGTTCCTCTGGTTATGTAGATGCACTTGATGTGGTTTGACTCCTGTGACATTCCCATCTCTGAGGTTTTGCCTGAAATTCCACTCCAGAAGACCTCCAAGTGCTTATAGTTCGGATTTGTTCTGGTTTATCTTGCTTGATTGTTGATAGATTATGTTTCTTACCTGGAGGGGGAATGTTAATATGTGCAGAGATCTGCAGAAAGAATATATCAAGAAAAAACAAATACTTTCCAGAAGGAGGTCTATGCTATGTTGCAAGAAATCCAAATAACAATGATCTCAAACCACGAGAAAATTAAAAATAACTTTGAAAATATAAATGAACACATCTCCAATATAACTTAACAAAAATTCTCCGAAAATAAAAATAGAGAGTGAGCAGAAAAAACAGGTAATTGAATACGAAACAGAGGAGAGATATTTTAAGATGGATCTTAACAATAAAAGGCAGTATGACTTAACAGGCAATACTGGACATGGAAAAGACAACCTATATTCTAAAATCACAAAATACGTTTGAGGACAAGAAAAAAGATTTGACAAAATGGATTCTGCCAGCAGAACTATGAGAGCTTGAGAGACAAAAAAGGATAAATAATATCAGGAAACAAAGAAAGGAAAAGATTCTCAATGAATATGAAGCGGCAAAACCTTTCTATAAAAACATCTTACCAGTTTTGTCTTTTGTACCTGCAACAACACTAACAAGATTTTGGGAAGATTCTTTGATTCAGTAAAACATATTGATCAGGAAAGATGTTTGGCAAAAAAAAGAGAGGCTAAGAAATTAGATGGTGGGATTTACCAGAGGGAATATTTAAAAATTTAACATCTGTTTGAATATGGTTAAAGAAATACAAGATTTTGGATATAAATGAAGATTAGTTGAAGAGGGATAAACCCCTCAAGTAATACAGTATATTTTTTCTTTTGTGTTTTGCTTTTTCACATAAGAAATATAAAAATGTTGGGATTGTTTATATAAAACAAATGTTTTCTTTGGGTTTTTTCCCTCTTTTTCTTCTTTCTTTTTTTTTAAGATATGAGAATTGTAAAAGTGTTGGGATGGCTTATATGAGAAAAAAGACTTAAATACTTAAGTGTAATTAATTGTGAGAAAAGCTTAACCAGTAAGAATGCTTTGAATATTGTGGGAAAAACAAATATAAATAAGAATTTTGTAAACAGGATCCATGATGAGGCAATCAAGATGACCAATTAGAAAATTGTCCTGGTTTGGACAAAACTCAGCAGCACTTTTTCGTGTGGCTGCTGATAAAAACAGGATCACCAACATGATCGCCAATGTCTGATCACAGATATGGCACAAGAAGAAGAAGAATATTGATGTGGTTATTATTTGCAGAAACATGAGAAAAATGTCTATATTTAATTGTCATTTATTCAAATAATAAGAAATATATTAATTTAAGGTTGGCAAAAGAGAATATTATTGGAAGAAGAGAAAATGAAGCAAAGCCATTATAAGGACTATAGAATTATAGAAATTAATTGTTATTGTTCTTTAAATACTAACCCAGACAACACGCTGTTTACCAAATAGTAAGGTGATTATGTTGAAAATCAATAACACATTAAAAAAGAGTCAACTTAGCAGAAAGCCAATAATAGAAAACAAGGTGGAGAGACTTTGGGAGTGTTTTAAGAGACTTTGGACTCCTAAATAGAGGGATAGAATCAAGATCATGTGAAGTGCTAATACCACTTTACAATGCCTTGGTAAGGCCACACTTGCAATACGGCATTCAATTTTGGTCATTGCAATGTAAAAAAGATGTTGAGACTCTAGAAATAGTACAGAGAAGAGCAACAAATATGATTAGGGACTGGAGGCTAAAACATAGAAGGGACGGTTGCTGGAATTGGGTCTGTCTAGTTTAATGAAGAGAAGGATTGGGGGGGACCTGATAGCAGTGTTCCAATACCTCAGGGGCTCCCACAAAGGAGAGGGAGTCAAGCAATTTTCCAAAGTGCCTGAAGGTAGGACAACAAACAACAGATGGAAACAAATCTAGGAGAGAAGCAACCTAGAACTAAGGAGAAACTTCCTGACCGTTAGAACAATTAACCAGTGGAACAACCTGCCTCCGGAACAGTGAATGCTCCAACACTGGAAGTTTTTAAGAAGAGACTGGACAGCCATTCGTCCAAAATGGTATAGGGTTTTCTGCCTGAGCAGGGGGTTGGACTAGATGACTTCCAACTTTTATTATTATTATTGTTGTTGTTGTTGTTGTTGTTATTATTATTATTATTATTATTATTATTATTATTATTATTAAGCGGGTGAAGCTGGGAAAGATGGAAACTGAATTGTTTTGCTTTTGCTAGAATTGTCTTAGAGTTTGGGGCTTTTTTATCCTTTTGAACTGTGTTCCCTTTTTGAAACCTTATTTTCTTTCAACACCTTTAGTAAAGTTGATTTTCATTTCAATCCGGGAGTTGACCCATGGCCTTCTTGTATCTGTCTCAGTTTGGTTGATCTACTAACTCCCCAAACCAGACCAGGATGATTTTTATCTTCAATCCTCTTCAGTCAGATTGACTTGAATACTGATATGCCAAACCTATCAGGAAGTTACAGGCTATAAATACATGTCTGCTACTGGAAAATCCTCACCAGAAGTTAGAAAGTCTGTTCAACACCTCAATCCAGAGAAGCTGGAACTGGAGGCTATGATCTAAGAAGCAATGAAGAAGATGGGACTTGATCTGGAGCTGAAATGAAGGAAGATTGCTGAGAAGGAGCATCTCAGGAGAAAGAGAAGGAGACCAATACCGGTGAGAGTTGTTGAAGTTGCAACACCGTGTCATCTTCACTAACTCTCTTCTCCCCAGCAGAACCCATAGCTTGGGGAAATGGAAATACCAGTTCACAAAGAAACATGAAAGAGATGAGATTCAGAACTCACAAATTACCTGCCAAGCTTATACCACTACAAAGCCCAGGAAATGACTCATTTGTGTCTCTTCTCTTGAAGAGTTGCTTAAGCCAAATATTGGTAGACAATTGTGCTGCGGAAAAGGAGAACTACCAACAGTTTAAAAAGAAAAACATTATTTATTTATTTGATGTTCATTGAATTTTCATTTCACTAACAAACTTCACATATTTATTTACTTCACTTTTAATAAACCTAAGTTGTCAAACAAATCCAAAGGGAGAATATAACCCCAATAATAATGGATAATTAAAAGGTACGAGCTTAAGAAACAATTTCACAGTCATTCCCCTGCTTTTGACATTAGATGTTCCTTAGTGTTTAGATCTGGTCTCAGGACAATAATGTAGCACTTGGGGAAGAAGATGCAGCCCAGCAGTCCAGCACTGGAGGCCAAGATGGAGAACACCTGCACAGCCACCATGTATTTTCCTTTAGTGCTCAGGTAGGTGGGGAGGAAGGAAACCCAGACACTGCAGAAGACCAGCATGCTGAAGGTGATCAGCTTGGCTTCATTGAAGGCCCCAGGCAGGTTCCTGGCCAGGAAAGCCACCGTGAAGCAAATGGCAGCCAGGAAACCCATGTAGCCAAGGACGACATAAAACATGGTGACAGAGCCTTCATTACACTGAAGGACAATCTCTCCAGGCTGGGAGTGCAGATCAGAGTCAGGAAATGGGGGGAACACTCCCAGCCAAAGGGCACAGATGAGAACCTGGACACCAGAACAAGAAAGGATGATGGAGTTGGCCAAGCTCTTCCCCAACCATCTTCTCACTTTATTCCCTGGTTTTGAAGCTAGGAATGCCAGCACTACTGTGATTGTTTTGGCCAACACAGAAGAGACAGCTACTGAGAAGACAATGCTGAACACTATTTGTTGGAGAAGACAAGTGGTTTTCCTTGGATGGCCAATGAAGAGAAAGGAGGACAAAAAACAAAGCAGGAGTGAGACCAGGAGGATGTAGGAGAGGTCCCGGTTGTTGGCTTTGACAATGGGAGTTTCTAGGTATTTAAGGAATATGATTAAAACAAAGCCTGTGGTTAGGAATAAGAGCAGAGCAATGGAGATGAGGATGATGCTGACATGTTCATCATAGGACAGGAAGGTTATTCTTTTGGGGATACATTGGACTCGGTTCTTGCTTGGATATTGGTCATCTGGGCACTTGATGCATTTGTCAGTATCTGAGAAATCAAAGTAATATTTCTTTTATTAACTTTCAAATTTCAAGAAAATTTTTGGACAACATGTGATACTGAGAGACAGGAAACTCTAAGTGAATGCAATCTACGTAGACTCTGGCAAAAAAAAGAAACAGAAACCCAATAGTACAACTATAAAAACAAGAACAACAACAAAATAAAATGAAAAGAATAACTATTTGGTGTCATGGTTCCGGCTAATGAAACACTTCAAAGAACTTCCAGGCATTGATTTTCCTAAAAGTCTTTTATCATGTTACAGAATGTCGGCACGGCATAACGAAGGGATGCTAAGATCTAAAATCCCCACCCACCAAGCAGTTATTTTGCTAGCATTTCCACTCCCTATTTTGCTGTCATGATTTACGTTCACCAATTAGTGTGAAGGGCAAAGGTTCCCTTCCTTTTTGATTTGTGGGCTTTTCCCTCCTCCCTCCTCTGCTCTTCATTAACTCTAAAAATACCAGAGAGTTCTGCATATATTGTCAAAGCAAGAATATACAGTATTTGCAGTGTTGACATCTGGTGCTTCAAGCGCTCTTCTCTGAGGTAATCCATCAGATTCTTATCTTGCACTGACCTTACCTTATCCCAAATGGTTGGGAGAAGTAGCAAATCTCCAGAGGTTTAAAAGGATGGGGGCCTACTGGATTTCAACAGGGAGTGGGTCCAATGGGGCAGGAACTGCATCAGAAAAAGATGGCTTGTGAGGACCCATAAAGTGGAAATCTTTTAGAGAACAATCCTTTTGCATGCCAATTATAGCTGCTCTGGTGAGATAAGCAGATATCCTCAAGGAGAGGAAGCCCTGCAGATACCCTGACTCTGTCTCATGTAGGATTTGAAAGGTGATTTTTATTGCACTTGGGAAGAAACTGAGATTCTATGGAGCCTGTACAATAAGGGAGTCCTATGGAAGAACACATGGAAACACAACACTGTGTTTGGTTTTCAAGAACTACCCTATGAATATGTGATACAAAAGATAGAAAAAGAAAACTGATAGCAAAAAAAGACCTAGTGCTCCATCTAGTCTGCCCTTTGAGTTTTTTGTTTTCTTATTTATTTAATATTTTATTTCATTTTTTAAAAAATTCAGATGGAGATATGTTTATCCCCAAAATGTTTAAACTCAGCATCTTGATGTACTCCTCTCTTTCTCTCTTACCATTTATATCTCATTGTTTTAATGTTTAATAATTGTTTTAATTGCCACCAAGCATCACTGTCTGTGGAATAGACATTAAAAATTTGGTAAATAAATTTGAAAAGACATCTTAAGGAAGATTAATTCATAAATGAACTCAAGAACAGGAACTGAGTCTGTTATCTGCAAAGTCTTTTTACCCTGAATAATCGAGAAGATGGAGCAATATATTTCTATAATTTCTAGATTTGGCAACAATTTTAAAGAAAGAATGAATTCAACATTGGTATCAAAGTATATTAAGTAGATTGTATTCATACTTTCTCCCCTCTCTTTTCTCTTCCTTTTCATCCCAACACTTTATATTACTGTAGTTTTTTTCTTTCAGAACCACAACTATATTCCTTTTTGTTGGTGTTATAATTGTGTGTATCTCATTATTTAACCACAAAGAAAATTGGAAAGATTAAAAAAAGGTAGAAAGGAAATATCCACTTGAAGGTTTTATGATGGTCCTCTGTTTGGTTTTCATTTCCTCCTTCAAACCAGCTTCTCCCCACTATTGTTCCTCCCAATTAGATATTTCAGCTGATGAGGAATTATGATATTTATAAAGTTTGACTAATTAATTGAAGGACTGATTGATAAATCTTTTGGTCTATAATGTAAACTTGTTTTGGGTGAGCAAAACCCATTGATCTAAAATCATTCCTCAAATTACAAAGAATCCAGAAGTTTCTAAAAAAGATGAATCCAGAACTTTCCCTATGGTGTCATCCACCTTCCTGAGTGGAGATGGTTTCCTCTGGACAAGGAACGCAGTCATAACAGCAAACTGGCTCTCCTTCTCGAATCTTCTTGACAAATCCAGGATGGCATTTTTCCACACATTTGGACTGAGGCAGAGACTAAGAAGAAAAAGAAGAAACACCAGAGAAAATGTATTAGAACTCACCATCCATTTAAATGGAGGTAGATGTGAACATTAGCAAAATAGTCTTTGGGTTTCAGGTGAACAAATATGAAATATCTGAATACTTCCAGATGGTTGCAGAAGATACAATGGCAGGTAGATGTCTCATTTAGTTCCTCCCTTTTTCTTCTGGCATATCAGATTGCAAAAAAAGAAAAATAGTACATTTCTACTTAATAAAATCTGGAGAGGTGAAATTGAGAAAAGGTGGGGTCCTCCACAAAGATCTCTCTAACAAACTAAAAGACAAAAAGGAGAAATACAAAAAATGGAAAGAGGGACACATAACCAAGGCCAATTATCAGCAGGCAGCCAGAACATGAAAGAAGAAGTCAGCAAAGCAAAGGCCCTGAAAAAACAAAGACTTGCAACAGAAATCAAGGACAACAAAAAAGTTTCTTCCAACATATTAACAACAAGAAAAAAGTCAAGGAAACTGTAGGCCCACTAAAGAGAGAATATGGCAAGGAAATTACAGGCAACAGGGAGAAAGCAGAGCTGCTTAAATCATACTTTGCATCAGTCTTCACACAAAAAGAAACCAAAGCCCAATGCATCAAAAAAAAAAAAAAAAACCACTGCAAAAGACATACTAGAAACAAAAATCAAAACAAGCAAGAAAACGGTAAGAGAACACCTGTCTAACCTTGACGAATATAAATCACCAGAGTACATCCCAGAGTTCTGAAAGGGTTGGCAGATGTTATCTCAGAACCATTGCACCACATCTTTCAAAACTCCTGGAGCTCCAGTGAGGTACCTGAGGATTGAAAAAGGGCTGATGTGGTTGCCATCTTCAAGAAAGGGGAAAAAAACAGACCCAGAAAACAACAGACCAGTCAGTCTAACATTAATACCTAGGAAGATCCTGGAAAAGATAATTAAAAAAAAACAGATCTGCGAACAACTAGAAGCAAACAAAGTTATAACTGGTAGCCAGCATGGATTTGTGAAAAACAGATCATGCCAAACCAATCTTATCTCATTCTTCAATAAAGTGACAAAACTAGTTGACCAGTGAAATGCAGTGGATGTAGTATACCTAGATTTCAGTAAGGCATTTGACAAAGTGGACCACAACTTACTCTTTGGTAAACTAGAAAAAGGTGAAATAAACAACATCACCAGCAGATTTGTGTCCTTAATAACAATCACCCCAAATCTCATATTAGATATAGCCGAATCAGCTTACAACAATAATCAACACTGTAGCATCTGAAGGATATCTGGGACAATAGAACTGAAGTCTCTGTATCTACCTAAGAAAATTTTAGATATTTTACTCCAAACATTCAATTCTCTGTGAAGGTTATCCACTTTTCTGACCAGGTATAGCCCACTTGAAATGGGTCTTTTGGAAAAAAGAGAAAAGACATTGATATTTTCTCTACCTTGTTCAGCAACTTTAGCTGTGACAAAGCATCTTGGTTGATTGTAAGTCTCTGTCTTTCAAAATCCCCCAAATGCTGGTTGATGGGATCCTCCTCAGAGAGAACCACCCTACTGAAGATCCTCAGGTCTGCTGCTACATCTCCATTTTGATCCACATACACATTCATCAGAGAAAGATTGCACATTTCCTTCTTCTTTAGAAATGGATGCCACTAAAATGAAAACATCCAGGAATTTTAAAAGCAATTTCTTATCTGGTTTCTTTTCTGTTATCTCATTTTACATTTCAAACTTTCTTCTATGGTTGTTTAACTTGCAAATATTGTAAGTTGGAAGAACAAGTGTTTGCACCATCTTCAAAACTCAAGAACAAAGGTTCAGTAATACTTCTCAATCATACAGTATACTGACAAAAAGTATACTGACAAGATGTAATTGACAAAAATTGTCAATTTCATAGAACACTCTAGCAAAGGTCACTAATCAAGTAAACAAAATATCCAAATAACTAGAGTATTCATAAACTCCTTGAAAACAACAGGCTGATCACCCGAAAGCAAGAATTTGTTAAGAAGAAAGTTGCAAGGCTAATCTTCATTCAGGTAAAGGAGATTGGAAAAATGACCAGATGAACTAATTCTATTTTATTGTAAAATTACGTTATCTTGCATGTGTGAAAGTACAAATGTTTCACCATTTCTTTTGACAGTCAAAAAAAATTTAGGGAGTACCTTTTCTGAGTTTCTTTCTCTGCCTGTTATGCAGCTACGAGTTTTTCCCCCCAAAGCACCAAATTATCTGATTCTTCCCTGCATCTCTTTCTCTGGTCCTCCAAACTCATTCCCACATATTCTTACATTTCCTTGATACATGATTTGAATCCAAGTAGTATAACTTGCACAGCACAGAATTAACAAAATGCTTCATGATGTCCTGAATTGTGATCTAATTAATTGAACACTGGATGGTATAATAATTAAGTAGGTATAACTATCTTAAAAACTGTAAAAAATATTTTTAACCTTACTACTAAAAGGTATCATAACTGAGGAGTTATGAAAAATAATTGGACCTTGGTCCTTGATTCTTCTATATTTTCTATATTAATAAAGGAAACAGATAAATCACAATTTTGTGATGCAAAAATTATACTAACGCTTGGACAAAGTTATTTTGATTTCCTTTAAAAAAAATTCCAGCTTCCAGAAAATAAAAATATAATTTTGTGACAGAGGTGCATAAGTAAAATCCAGTTGGAAACTAACTAGTTTTTACATCTAGGACTTGATAAATGATTGTATCTTGCTTAACACAAATGAATGGCACCAACAATCTATATCTTTCTTTAAGATTTCATTTATAGTTTTTCTCACATTATTCGATATGTAATTATAATAAAGTGGTAGTAATATTTTAATGATCTGATAATAATCATATTAATTCAACAATAATGTCATTAATAATGTAGTAGAATCATTCCAGGTCCTCTTGTAGGAAACACACTTGGAGAAGATATTGCACAAATATTTTATTAGCTTTAGTCAGGGAGAAAGAAGGAAAGGAAGAGATCAAAGGAGCTGCTTTTATCCTTCAGGAAAGACATTAAGGAGAAGAGCCATGGTGGTTTAGAGGGGCTTAATATCAGAAGGAATCTGGGAACATTTTTTTCAAATATAGAAATCGCCTTGATTGTAGAAGGGAGGATGCAGTGCTTTCCCACTAAATATAAATGTTATACAGAAGCTTATGATCTTAAACAACCAAGCTCAGAGAGCACAAAAGACTCTGAAAGGAATTTATAGTTTGATGGATCCTTGTTGGGACCCCATCCCTTCCATGGCTCCAGCCATGGGGACCCCATACCTTCCATGGCTCCAGCCATGGAGCCCCCAATCTCTCTTCTCCCTTCTTCCTTCTCCTCTGGGATTTGGACACAGCATTTAAGGCATGGGCCAGAATCTTAATGACACTGTAAGGAACACCTGGATTTGGGATCTGCATCCTATTCTTTTTCTCTTGGGTCTCCATTGGTGCTTTCTGTGTGCATCTTCTCCGGCCTTTGACAGAAAAGATGTGTTTTGAAACAGAACAGTGAAAATACTCAGCCTGAAATTCATGTTTCACAAAGAAAGGTGTTTTAAAGGCATCATCTTTTCGCCAGCTTTTTTTCCTCTGAAGAGGAAAGCTCCAAATACTATGGACGTACTTGAGAAGCCTATCCTTTCCTGTAAAATATATGCCCACCATTGTCATGATCCAGACTTTCCCTTCAATGGGTCCTAGTAAACCTTCAAGTGTTGAATGGAAAGGAAGAATTCTTGTAAAAAGGGAAGCAAATTCTATGAAGTGAACAAAGACATTGACTTGTTTCCACTTAGAGAGGGCATTCCTGAGGGGTGCTGTATGTCCAGTTCTTGAGAACTGTTGTGATATAACAACACAAATCCTATTCTTGACAAGTATTGGAGTTAAATTTCTCATGAAATGCTCTCCCTCCTCTGTGTCTGGAGCAAAGAGGCCAATCAAGGCCCATCCAAAATGGAGGAGCAGTTGGACAATTGCCGGGATCTGGAACCCTTCTTTGGGGAGCATCGGATAGAAAAAAGGGAATTGACTTTTATCACTCAGAATCCCTGAAGCAATTCTCTCACTGATCTGAAATAACAATGAAGAATTCTGTGTTATATTTGGGGTCCAACCAAATCCCAATGTTTCCACGCCATTAATTTCTATAAAAAATAATTACATGACATAATTTTATAAATTGTATAAATTCTCAATTCTGCTCTGAGGGCAGCAGCTGAAGTTGTTTTATTCACCCTGAAGATACTTCTCAGATGATGTGATTGGATTTGTTCTAGTAGTGATATAAATTAAATCCCAGAGTTCAGGTCAAAGTGGCAACGTTGGCCTTTTGTACTTTAATGTTTCAGGCTGCATAGCTATGAATTTTTAAAAATCCTTTTAACAGTGCATTCACTGGTACCTTTGATCTAAATGAGAAGCTTTGATGTTGAGGGAGCCAAGATTCAGTCACAGACAAAAGTTCTCCGGGTAAGGAAAGGTGTGAACTTGCTCAAATGCTATGAAGGCAGCAAACAAATATTTCTTCTGACTGATATTTCTCTAGTTAGATAGTTCAAGACCATCCAATTGTCGACAGTGGATCAAATCTGCCTAAAGACTGCTGGATCTTCTACAAGGAATGCACTTTTCACCTACCACTCTCATCGCTATTCAAGGGGAAGCTGGCATTTATTCAAGCCACAATATCTGCTAGACAAAGGGGCCTGGAATTGCTAGGGTCCATTTTATTCCCTTTTTTAATATATGGGAATTACAATTGTCATCTTAAACTGAAATGGGTGCGGCACATATTATTTATATTTGTCAATGAACCTGCTAATAGAGAGTCCCACAGGTGAGGTATTTCTTTAATTGTTCAGCTGATGGACAATCTTCTCTGGAGCAATATTGATTTTCAAGCCTTTTATTATGAATTTGATCTTGAGCATTTTAGGGGAAAACATAATGTACATGTTGGATAATATATTTATAGGAAGTTTAAATATAAAATGATTAATTAATGTTAATGTTCCCCACAGAATCATAAAACATATATGTTTCATCAACATTAGGAAAGATAATCCAGTGGAACTCTGTTTATAAATCTGGGATTTGTTCATAACTGAGAATATCATTATTTTGATTAAGATCATGGTCAATAGGTGAGCTTTCCATCAATGCTGCACTTCCTATTGTACAGAAGCTCCTTTGGTTTGCCAAAGCCTCTCCTCACCTTCACAAGTCTGCAGCAGAAGCCCTCAAAGAAAAGAGGATGTCATGAGTAGATGTTTTTGTTTTGATCCTTATTCCCTCCCTACTGTTATATCAATCCCTAGCCATGAAACCTACAATTGCTATAGTGAAAAGCAGCTCTTGAATTCTATAAGGAAGATATGGTTGGATCTATCGTCAAATGCTATCACCCCACTTACTTTGCCAGATAGGGGAACACAAACACAAACCTGTGGGACTTTGTGGGTGCCTGCTAATGTTGACATCTGGATTGATATGTCACTGTCAGCTCCATCCACAAGAGCCAAAAGATTGTCCTTCCTTCCACAGCTGTAGTTGGGAACATTGGCTTCTCCAGTAGAGAGCATGTCCAGCAAGGCATCTGAAGTGCCAAGTGTGTTCACATAGTTGTCATAGATATTGTAGCCCAGTGTGAGATTGTGCAGGTGCTGGTGATTTTTCTTAAAAACTTCAATATTGAAAATCATGCGTAGTATTCTTTGTTTTCCAAAAGGTAAACTAGTGTAAAACCATGCTCATGTTAATATTAGCATCATTAACAGCAACAACCAAATACCCTTTCTCTATTTAATTGACTTATTCTCCACAAGCTAACTTAAGCTAATATTGATTGAAAACCAGAGGCAAATGATAGTCACCTGTCACCCTTTAATATTTGTGAGTGTGGAGAAGATAAGATGGAGGGATTAAAAATCACAAATACACCATTATTTGTAAAAGTACTAACTTTCATCAGCCCAATAGATGGATGGCAGAATAGTTCAGTTATTAAAGTAGAACAATCATAAAAGGAAGAGGATTTCTGATGAGTGACCCAGAGAAGCTGTTCTAAAACGGAGTCATCTTCTATTACTATAAAAATCAGGAATAGAATATCAATCTGTGGTTATAAAAGTATGGAAATGACCTGGGAAGGGGAAAATACAATAATCACTACTTTCAACAAAACTCAAGTATTCATATCATGAACTGAGGATTGAACAGGGAGAAGAAAGTAATGTGAACTTCTTTAAGGCTTTATTTTCCTCATATTTTGATTTAAGCCTCTTCCCAGAAAATAAGACAAAAGTGAGAGGCTGTGGAAATCAAAAGGATTCAAGAAATTGGTCAAGTCCTGCAATATAGGAATAAGTAAAATAAGAAAAAAAAGAAGTGTTAGAACTGCAAAAGGAGGTAAAGAAATGCCATCACAGTGAATTACTTACAATCGAATCTGACTAGAAGGAGCCATGTTGAAAGGTAATGTTGCAGGTGCTATTGCTGATGAAGAGATGACTATACTAATGAGAAGATCTCCTTGTTTATAATAGCTCCATGGCTTTTCTCCATCCTGGTGGGCCAAATTCAGTGGGCACTTCATTCTCAACTTCCCAGAGACAGGCTGGGACATCAGCAGCATCAGAAGTAGCAGGAGATCCATAATTGATGGAGTTGAATCAGTCTCCTTCCCGTTTCTAAAGAAGAATTAGAAGAATTGGAAGCATCCTCACAGGATGGAACATCAATGGCTTTCCTGATTCAAACAGAGACAAACCAAGATTCACCTGGAATAGAGAAAAAGTACAATTCAAGAGCACAGTTCTTGTCTTTCTGTAATTTGAGCCACAAAGAGCATAAGCCATAGTATTTATCCTTTTAAGTCTGATGTTTACAAAAAAGGCAGCCACTGCAGAAGTAGGAGAAGAGGTCTCAGAGACAGGGGTGGTGATTATTACAGTGAGAAGGAACTTCTCCTCCTGGGATCCCTTCAATGTAAGGAGAGATAGCTGGAGAAAAGCATGTTAGTGAAAAATCACAGATACACCCCTTGGGGCAGCGTTCTGTAGTGGTCACAGCCCTTCCTGTAAGGACATGTCTAGAAAGTCATGCTGGATGAAGATATTTCAACAGCCAGAAAAGTGACTTCTGTTGTCCTTCAGTGAGGTCTCTTGCCTTCAGAGGCTGCTAGGGATGGTCACGCAGTTCTAGGTTGGTGACACTTAACTCTAGTGCTGCCTCTGCTTTATCTTCATGGAAGCAATCATTATCCTTGAACCCAGCCTAATTTTAGAATAACAGAATTGGAAGGGACCTTGGAGGTCTTCTAATTCAACCCCTTGCTCAAGCAGAAGACCTTATACCATTTCAGACAAGTAGCTGTCCAGTCCATCTGTTTGTGATGCTGTCTATCCCACATTTTTCTAGCTTACCAAGAAATAGATTGTCATCTATTTTGTCAAATACCTTACTGAAATCCCAGTATACTATGTCCACAGTATTTTGCTAATCCACTAATTGGGTCACTTTGTCTTCAAGAGAAAGAGTAGGGCCTGTTGGGGTTTTCTTCTCAATGAGATTTCCACATATGAATCCTAAATTGGGGCTGATTTTATAATTCCTTGTAACTGAGGTGAAATTTCATTTGCCATCTGTTCTAGAAATATTAATTTTTGCATGAGAACTGACTGAGAGATTGGAAAGTAATGGCCTATGGACTGCATCATTGGCTAAGAAAGAGAAGGGTTTTTTTTAGTTTCCTTAATACTTGCTGTGTTGTCTTCCCATATTGATACAAACACTGCAGGTCTTTAAATATTGAAGTTTCTTGGTTTCTAAAATAAGCAGTGTGCTGTGAGATCTGCAGCTGAGATGATGGCAGCACCCACAGTGCAGTGGATGGTGTGACCTGATTTCTTGCCACAACCACTCAGACGTTGGTTTAGGGGCACCTTGTGGCAGTTCCTCTGGTTATGTAGATGCACTTGATGTGGTTTGACTCCTGTGACATTGCCATCTCTGAGGTTTTGCCTGAAATTCCACTCCAGAAGACCTCCAAGTGCTTATAGTTCGGAGTCCCTGTGTTCTGGTTTATCTTGGTTGATTGTTGATAGATTATGTTTCTTACCTGGAGGGGGAATGTTAATATGTGCAGAGATCTGCAGAAAGAATATATCAAGAAAAAACAAATACTTTCGAGAAGGAGGTCTATGCTATGTTGCAAGAAATCCAAATAACAATGATGTCAAACCACGAGAAAATTAAAAATAACTTTGAAAATATAAATGAACACATCTCCAATATAACTTAACAAAATTTCTCAGAAAATAAAAATAGAGAGTGAGCAGAAAAAACAGGTAATTGAATACGAAACAGAGGAGAGATATTTTAAGATGGATCTTAACAATAAAAGGCAGTATGACTTAACAGGCAATACTGGACATGGAAAAGAC